CTATTCTATTCTATTCTATTCTATTCTATTCTATTCTATTCTATTCTATTCTATTCTATTCTATCCTATCCTATCCTATCCTATCCTATTTATGGGATTTCAAGTTGGAACTGTACTCAGTTGGAATGGATTCTACCTTTATTCAGATATAGTATAGGTTGTCCTCAACTTACAACAGTTCATGTAGTGACCATTCGAAGTTAACAACAGCACTAAAGAAAGAGATTTATGACCATTTTTCACTACATTTACTACATTTATGACAGTTGCAGCGTCCCAGAGGGTGCATGATTCCCCTTTGCGACCTTCTGACAAGCAAAGTCAATGGGGAAGCCAGATTCACTTAACAACCGTGTTAGTAATTTAACCAATGCAGTGATTCACTTAACAACGGTGGCAAGAAAACTCGTAAAATGGGCCAATACTCACTTAGCCAATTTCTCACTGAACAACATAAATTTTGAGCTCAATTGTGGTTGTAAGCTGAGGACTACCTGTAGTTGAAACTACTAAGATTTAAGAAAAAAATAATATTTTTGGCTACACTGAAGGGAAAGTGAAACATATCTTTCTTTAATAAGCAAGAAAAACTGCCATTGTATCTGAACAAACCACAGTTCCAATCTTTCTGCTTGCAAATCAAAATTCTACACTCTGTTTAATCCAGGTTTGAAATTCTGCCTTGGGCAAATAATTTACCACAGGGATAGCAACATTGGTCACTATAAACATTATTAAATTTCAACTCCCATCAAGCCTTTCCTGTAGAGAGAACAGGTAGTGCTGATGGGAACTGCAGACCAAAAGCTACTGAACACAATGTCGATCTCTGCTTTGTGGATCAGATTAATTTTTAACATGTGAAAATCCCCCACTCTTTTCTGTCTCTCAATTGACCCTGCTAAATTCAGCTACAAAATACTACTTTTTCTTTCATGAAACATTTGCATTAAACTGCTGGCTACCTTGGACAAGAAAGTCCCCACCCAAAGAACATCAACTATATTCTCAGATGAGAGTAGGTTACATTCTTCAATGTCTTGGACGAAACAAGAAATGCAACTTAAAAGAATACCACATGCTAGACCAGGCATGTCCAATTTGTGACCCATTGGCCACATATGGCCCTGGACAGCTAATAATGCCACCCCACCAGATTGTACGCTTTTAAAAGTGGTGCGGTGGCCTACAGGTGGAACTCTCGCCTCACAATCAGGAGGCTGTGAGTTTGATCCTAGGTAGAGGATCAACCTATTTTTCTCTTTGTGCACGATGAGAATGTATCTGCTGAATATAACTCCGCACTGGCAACAGGAAGGTCATCCGGCCAGTAAACACTCAGTTGCCCAGACTCCATCCTGCAAGGGATTAGCCGGTCATTAAAAGAAGATGACCAGATTGTACACTTTTAACATTATGTGAGTTAGATACATTAACTATGTTATATCTTTTATATGTGGCCCAAGACAATTCCTTTTCACTCAGTGAGGTCCAAGCAAAACAAGAGGTTGGATATCCATGCTCTAGACCAGTGGTCTGTGGACCTCTGGGGGATCCATGAAGACTTGAAGAAATGTTATTATTTAAATCTTGAGTTATGTCTTGGGAGTCCATTGCCACAAAAGTTATTTAAAGGGGGTCCATGGTGAAGAAAAGATTGAGAAACACTGCTCTAGACTCTTCACTGGCCAAGAACCATTAAGACATTTTTCCTTCACCTCAAGTAACACTGTCATGTCAAAGAAAAAAAATCAATCTCCCACTTAATCATTTAGCTTTTAGCAGTTTGCTTACCTCTTTGCCTGAAAAATAAGACTTACTATATTTAGACAGGAAAAGAATCCTGAATTTAAAATATTTCCCCCCACATTCCGCAGAGCAAGACTCATCTCTCCCTGTCACTGTGTTTTAGAAAACATAAAATTATCGACTCAATTTAAAGGTAAACCCGTTGCCAAAAGTCAAATATTCCTTCAGATAAAGTCAGTTCCAGAATGTTGCAAGTGCTAAACTTTCTGTTTTCCTTCTCTCAGTGAATCCCTCTTTAGTTTGTGTCGTATCTTTTAAAGTGCAAGATTTTTTTTTGAACCCAAGAAATTTTTGTGTGTGAAAAAACTGAGCAGAAAATACTGTACTAATAAGAATATGTGTTTACGGCACTGCCCCTTTGTACATGTTGATGCATACCATAGAGCAGTGTTTCTCAATCTTGACCACTTGCAAGATGGGTGGACTTCAATTCCCAGAAGTCTGTGCTGTATTAAGCCTTGCCCCTTTGTACATACATGCTATGATGACATAGAGCAGTGTTTCTCGACCTTCATCACTTGAAGACAGGTGGACTTCAGTTCCCAGAATTCCCCAGCCAGCTATGCTTGATGATGATGGTTATCATTGAAGCTCTTTACTCTATTGGCAGTGTTTTCCTCAACCACTAGACCAAGAGTGTCAAACTCGCAGCCCGCGGGCCAGATGTACCATGTGTTGACCCCGACCCCGCCCAGTTTAGCAAAGGGGGAAAAAGTCCCGATATGTCATGTGACACCGCCGTGACGATGCAAGTTTGACACCCCTGCACTAGATCAAACTGGTCAGCTGGGGAATTCTGAAAGCAGAGGTCTACCCCTCTTCAAGTGGTCTAAAGTTGAGAAACACTGCCATAACCGTATAGAACTCCAATGATAACCATCATCATCCTTCATGAACTTCCTGAAGACACCACTAAATAAAGGCTTACCTTCAAAATCTCATCCAATCTCATCCTTTCCTTCAAAAGGGTTTCATATTCAGCATGACAGGTACCAATAAGCAACTCCTTTTCTGATAACTCATTGATCAATCTTCGCTGTTTTTCATCCCACTGACACTTATTGATGTGAAATGCTTTCTCTGCCTCATTCAATTTCTGCTGAAGAGCTCTGATGGTTTCTGTTGAAAAGACATGCAAGGTGATTCTCAAATCCAATTAAAATCTGTATTAAAGTAGCATAGGTTCTTCTCCAACAATATTTAAAAAGGAACAAACCAAAGATTTTACAGTGAACATTGCCATAACTATTCTATTGAAAACAACAATCCTTTCAAATTTGCCATTTTACATCAACAACACAAAAAAACAGGTGAAAAGCCATTTCTATCAATGAAGATGTTTTGGTATACATATTTGTTACACAAAAGAGCCAGTTTGATCTAGTGGTTAATGTAGGGGTCCCTGAACTTGGCAACTTTAAGACTTGTGGACTTCAAGTCTTAAAGTTGCCAAGTTTGAAGCCCTCTGGGTTAAGGCATCAGGCTAGAAATTGGGAGAACCAAGAGTTCAAATCCTGCCTTAGCCATGAAAGCCAGATGGGTGACCCTGGGCCAGTCACTTTCTCTCAGCCCAACCCACCTCACAGGGTTGTTGTAGGAGCAAGGAATCTTAAAGATACCACAGGTATCTACCTAAGTGGCCAAGGCTGACAGTAAGATGTGTTAGACAGATATTGTCCAGCAATGTCTTATTAAGAACACAGTAAAATAGACAGACACATATGGGGCCAATCTACAGCTCTTACAAGAAACATGTAGCTTTTTTACATAAACATTCTACATTAAACAATTGCAGGAATGTAGGAACAGATAATATTGGTCAGAAAAAATGAAAATTTAATTGATGTTTGGAAAAGAGTAAATTTAGAGGAAGGAAAAATGCTACTAGTTATATGTAAATTATGAATTTGCTTAACTGGCATCGGTTTATTATAATTGGAAAACAAATAATCCACTAGTTTAAAGCTGCTATTCAGCCAAGTATACAACATAATTATCAAGTTAATATCTTTTTAATTACATAGTAATAAACATTCAACAAAATCACAACAATTTCAAAATTATGTACCAGTTCTGCAAGGACTTTGGGACCAAATATTTTCCCATCTTTAATTTATATAGACACTCACTCTCTTGTTATTAAAAACAAATGAGATTACTGAAAATTCGTTTAAGAAATCCAGAAATATTTCCAAATTAATAAGCATGTAGAAATTGAAATACGTAAAGCATAGAATGCCATGAAGCTACTTATAAATATTACTCTATTAAACATGAGCAAGAAAAAAGAAAAAGGAATGGAATGAAGTGTTAGAATCAGGGCCCAAGAAAAACAATAATTCTGATGTATTTTCTGCATTAAAGTATAAGAGATATTAGTGATGGGTAATAAAATATTACTAAATATATAAGATGTAGTAAATGTGGATATTACACGTCAGTCTTATGAATCATTTTTTTAAACTGTTAGCACCTGCTATTAGAAAACAAAATAATATCAAAAAAAATGAATCACAGATACAAATAGAATTCTTTTTAACCAAGCAAAAATGTACAAGTTACAAATTAAATATTACATTACATTTTATATAAAAATAGACTCTAAGTTCAGAATCAATGAAACTGACTATGAAAATGTGTCAAACAGTTTAAAAGCTCTAAATCTGAGAATATTAAGTAAGGAACATAATAATGATCTTAACACAACAATCAGTATTGGTGGTAAAATGCAAAAGACCCAGGAGATTCAGACCTGAATATTATAAGGTACTCCTAAAATAATAATTCCCTATTTATGCCTGGAGAACACAGTTACTGAATTATGTTCACAGAAGAAATGTTCACAAATCTGTTCATTATTGAAAATGTACTGAATTTTACCTTGCAGCTGTTCTATTTGTTTGTTTGCTCCACCTAATTTTTCTTCTGATGAATACCGTTCTATACCAACTTCTTTCCTTGCTACAGCTAATTCATACTCCAGACTTTGTCGGACAGCTTCACCCTTCTCAACTTCTGCTCGCAGTTTTGCAATCTGGCTTTCATAGTTTGACAGCTATAAATGAAATTTAAAAAAATTAAAAAAAATTACAGGTAACTTTACTCATACATTATTTTTTTGAATACTCATATTATGTAACTCTTTAAACTTAGATGCCTTGAAACAAATTGGGTTGAAGGGTTTGTGAAAATTTTCCTTTTTTTTTTTCCTTTCACCTATTATTATGATGCCAAAATGCCTTTACATGATCGTTAAATTACCTACTTGGAAATTAACGTATTTACTGTAAAACATTACAAATCCATAAAAATCAAAACAAAATCTTGAATTGTATGTCCTCCTCTTTGCAGTGTTTTTCCCTGTCAGGAATAAAACAGTTGATGAATCTCCAGTCTAGAAATAAAGCTGTTGAGCTTTTGGATTTGAACACTAATGCACAGAAAGGATACTCTTTATAATGCCTTTAAATGCAAAAGGGTTTTCCAATGATAAAACAGTTTTAATTTGTCATCTCCTGCTACAATAGCTCCACTCTAAATCATTTTAGGTAGTCCTTGATTACTGACTAGCCTATTTAGCAACTGTTCAAACTTACCACAGAGCTGAAAAAGTAGATTTGCAACTATCCTTGAACTTACCATAGTCCCAGGCTCACATGATCTCCATTTGCAATCTTCACAATAAGTAAAGTGAATTGGGGAGCCAGTATTAATTTATAAGTCGTAGTAAACATAAGGCTGCATTGAACAACTGCAAGTGATTTTTTTTAACAACCATGGTGGAACTGGCATCATAAGTCAGACATGGTCATGTGATGTTTCACTTAACAATTGCATTGCTTACAATGATCCCAATTGCAGTTTTAATGTTAAGTAAGAACTTACCAGCCAGGCCTATATTCTGATTATTGCATGATCACTTTGCAATCATCATTGCAATGCAGTTCAGCGTAAAATAACATTGGAAATTGCTTTATTTTAAAATATTCCACTTTTGAAAATTGGTGAGCTTATCTTAGCACCCCAATTTTATAAGGACTGTGGGAGATTACCAATTCATATTTGTGAAGGAAGAAGATAGGTAGCTTTTTGAAGCTATTTTTTCTGGGTTGGTTTTTTTTTTTGCATGAGGAAGATTAAAGGTAGGAATAGGAGGTCTCAGAGAGGCAAACAGCTTCTAGTCCTATATTTAAAGCCACCTCAAAGCCTAGGAAACATGCAAAAATCAAGAAATCAAATTTTCCTCATTTTGCTGCTGAACTTCTTTAGAACAATCTCAATGAGTTGGAAGCTGCAAGCAGCCTTCAGGCTTTTCATCAATTGAGAAGAAATGCATTATCTCCAGCCACTTTCCAAGTCCAACAGGAATTATATTACAAGCAAGATGGAAATTACAGCGGGAATCTCACTGAACACATAATTACTCCACGAGCCCTAATGGAATTTTTGACTTGTATTTCTTAAACAACAACCCCCTTACATTCAGCTTTGGTTGTAAAAGCTAAATAATCCTATGCTTATTAAGATCAACAACTTAAACAGTTTGAACTGATTAATATCTTTTGGGCAGTAATGGGCTTCAGGGTTTACTGATTGTGGTCTAGAAAACAGATTGACTGACATTTCCTGGCAACTGTGGAAGGCACCTGTGGAGTTCCCAGTGAAACATCAGGAAATCTGTTTTCTAGACCACAATCTCTAAACCCTGAAGCACAATGTTGCCCAACAGATACCGGTCATGAAAGCCTACACCAGTATATAATGCCGTTTCTTTTTCTTTTTAATAGTCTAAGTCATTTATATCTTAGAGTGTTATGAATCTCTAGTCAACACTGTATAAAATACCGCTGTACCAAAATAACATAATGCACTGTATAATAAAAACAAATTTTATTAACACCATTTTATAAATAAAAAAACAATAAAAATATTATGTTAGAAACTAACTCTTGATGGGCATGCCATTGTAAAAAGCAAATTAAGTAACAATTTTAAAAAATGCTAGAACCACATCTAACTTAGAAGACCCCACTAAAGTAGATTATTGATTTCTTTTAATCTCATACAACCTATTATTTGGAGGGTTTTTTTTAATAAATGAAGTTTTTGCCCCATGAGAATTATAAGAATTATACCCATATTCTGGTTTCTCATTAACAAAAAAGAGATGGGAAAAATATCAAAGAAAAAAAAGAAACATTTGGAAGAATCTTAAATATGGCTTTCCATGTCCTGACTACAACTTAAAAGTGTTTTGGATCTCATGAAGCACAGCACCTCTGGTACTCATTAAAGCAGTTTCCTCTTTTAGGCTTTTGTGTAAGCCTGCAAAATAAAATAATGCTGCAGCTGCTCTAAGAATTGTAATAGTTTTAATACCACAAAGACTGGACTGGAACAAGATTTAGAGAAGTTATTTTAAATCAGGGTCCAAGAGCGCACAGGCCTAATACAAACCCCTTCATTAGCATTATGAAGGCTGATGTAGTTCTTTAGATACATCAGAAATGTGGCAAGTTGGAGAAAGCCATCCATCAACATCAACAGGATGAGTAGTTTGTGTAAGAATGTTGAACACACAGCCCAACAGCAATGAAATTGTTACCTCTGCATTATGCTTAGCAGTTATGTCAAGTTTATCTTTCTTGGCTTGATGGAGTTTCCTTCTCAGATCTTCCTTTGTTTCCATATCAGCTTCACTGTGCTTGTGGAGAAATGTCTTTCCAAAATTCCTGTTTTAAAAATACAAGGATTTTTCACTACAAATGGTCTCAGTCATACCAGCTCTGAAGTTTCAAATAATCGAGGCAGCAAGGTTGAATTTCTTACTCAGAACTAAGTCCCACTCAATTTACAAGATTTGTTTCCAAGGTAATATACTCTAGAGGTGGCTATTATTGGAACTGTTTTGCTTCCAGTTCACAACCCCTGCAATTCAAGAATGTATCTATCTACTAGCTACCTACATCTGCATCTGCATTTCACTGAAGGTCATTTTAAAGGTTATCAACTTTTTGTTATTTAATTCTAAGTGTAGTGATTTAAAAATTCTGCTTTATATGTATATATTTTGAAGGGTTGTGAGTCACCCTGAAAAATGAAGGTAGGGTAGAAATAAATTAAGCACAAATTATGCTTCTCGTAATAAAAGTCAATCCCTTTCAAACCTTACATCTGTTACTTTCTCTTTCTTGAAGAAATAAAATTAAAAATAACACTTATTTTGTTCAGCCAGCATTTTTCCAACTCTATTTAGAAAAATATGGCAGCATTGTTCATTAAAAAAAGCAGTTCTAATAATTTTGTAGAAGGGGAAAGTCCAGGAGGAACGGCTTATCATGATGACTGCAACAGAATAAAATATTTTCTGTGCATAGCTTTTAAAGTATAGATGTTTTGCATTTTGCCAGCCCACATACATTCATTTAATGAGAAACAGAGGGAGATGTTGACTGGCCTCCTTGATGTCAAGGGAAAATAAGTTTACCCTGATGAACCAAGCCTCAATTCTAATTACTATTAATTCATAATTACTGGAAGATGCACACACACAACTCTCTTAATGTTATCTTTTTAGGCATCAAAATACAAAATATATGAAAAAAAAGCATACAATTCTTAATTCACAAACCTCATTCAGCTTCTTAAATAAAAGGGAGAAGTTCACAAAACAAAATGAAATCTTGTACCTAAGTTAGTGAGGTAACTATGGTAACCATTCCAATGGAATAACAAAGTGTTTTTTTCCTTGCATTGACAGCTGAGGAAGTGTGATAAAATACCCATTTTATTTTATATAATATACCATACATGGAAAACTAGACAACTTTTGAAAGTACTGCATCCACTTTTCATATCACATAGGAAGTGATTGGCAGAACAATTCAGGGATAAAAACAATGATACAGATATGACATGATAGAAAGCAGGAAAAGACAAATATAAACATGGTAAAACAAGAGGAAAAGCCAAGCTGCCCCATTAAAAAAAAAAAACCTCACCAGTAGGCAAATATACAAAGTTTTAAAAAGATTTCATTAAATATCACACTTTGAAGAGAAAATGGAAACAAACTTCTGAAGGGGACTAAGTACACTTCTCTGAATAATTTCAATCTCACAGTTGAAATGGTACTGTTCATTAGGAAGGAAGCTGCACTTTTTTTATCCATTTTTGTTACCCTAATAGTTGCCACTGTATTTGGTAAGTAAAATACGGAATTTGGAAAATAAGTTATCCTTTTGCTTTGATTAGTGATGTTTTGTTAATTAGCAAAACTGGATTGAAAAACCATCAGAACCATATGTATGCATGTGAGGGGTAAAGTATATATGTTTATACGTATGTGTGTATATCAGTATTTTGCTATTCTTAAAGGGATTGCAGAAATGCTTTATCAAGGGATGTTGTCTTGTATTCATTTATAGCACAATCCTATATTTGTGTGTTATTTCCAACCAAAACTTGCTAACAATTTTGTGATGCAGGTATGGGGAGTTACTTTGAAAAGCACCTACAGTAAGCTAACACAATCCTACAGAAAGCTGAATTTCCACTAAGATACCCGCACTATAGATGGGCCAATTATCTGATAGCTATTGTAATAGCTATTGTAATATTACTTCAAACTGTGAAATCTGAAATTATGAAGTATTAACAGCATGATTTGTACATTCTCAATTGCCACCTGGTACTAAATATCCCAAATATGTATTTTTCTGCAGTTAACATTCTATTAGAAATTTCATATGATAGAATTAGAAAATGGCAGAAATTTACATGGTCAAAAGAGAGAACAGAAATTTTCATAACTGTATTCTTTGTTAATTATCAGAATTAAACTCACCGTTTCATTTCAGAGATTGAGTAATTCACTTGAGAATCCATTACAACTAATTTTCTACTTTATGTTCTCTGAACAAACAATGCTATTTTCATAGGTATTATTGTTTGCACAAGATTTCAAACATCACGTCTTTTCCAATTTCTTGAGTCACATTAAAACCTACAATACACAGATTTAAATAAATATCTCAGTCACACCATTTTTGCAATAATATATTTGGACTTAATCACAAATTATAGAATTCTTTATTATTAAAGTATATGCCCAATAGTTTACTGAAGCCAGCAATAATCTAAAGAGTCACAACATGAACTTTAAATTTCTTTATTAATGTCATTATTTCCATCTCCACTCATCTTCATGTTACAAAAATAGATTATAGGCTTAAGAAACAGCTTAAGAAATAAAAAATAGGCCTAAGAAAAAACATAAATTTTGACGGATCTCCAAAAATAATAGGCATTTGGGATGCACTCCGAAGTACCTTTTTGAATAGTAGGTTGTGTTTCTAATGTTCTCATTTTGCCACTACAATCAATAAATTTTCTACAACCAATGTGAGTGTAGAAATTAAAATGTTGGATCAAGTCTGGACAGACCATCCTTAAAAACAAGAATTCGTTCCTTTAGACCTACCTACCACAAGGTCATAGGGATAAAATGCAGATTTTGGTGTAAGCTACTTTGAGTCCTGAAGAAAACAAGGGATATAAATTTGGGAAATAACAAATATGCTAGTCCCTTTGTTCAGCTTGAAAAAGCAACAAAAGAAATCGATAGTGGCAACGCAATTCAACCAGGGCTCCCAATTCACGGGTTAAAAATAAATGCCTAAAGCAGCCTTTCCTAACTTTTCAGGAATAGTACAGGAGTTGGGACATTGGAAATTTTCTAGTCACTCCCTTTTCAACCAGGAGACCTTATACTATTCTGGACCAATGGCTCTCTAATCATTTCTTAAAAACTTCCAGTGATGGAGCCATCATGACATCCAGGTGCACAGCTTCCATTATCCCTGTCTGTCTTCTGGTTGGAGATTTTGAGGTCAATACCTCTAAAGGATTACAATTTGGAGTATATTGGCTGCAATTGTTCAAATTTTTTTGCAGTAAACTGTAATTCAGTGATAACTGAAGATTGTTTAACAGATAAATCAGCAAAAACAGTTCCCTTAATGGACATTGTGTTAGAGACTTTTTCACTTGGAAAAAGCAAATCCACCAAACCAACTCATTCTGTTTCACCTAAATAACTGATTACAGTTAAGCCAGTTGTAGTTCTAGAATTTGTGGCAAGACGTTTACTTTGACTTCCTTGTTGCTACCATAATCTATTCAAACCCAGAATGAAGACCCCAAAACTATATCTAAATAAAAGTCTTCTGGATCATACAAACCGTCTGGCTCTTGTCAATAAAAGGCAAAAAAGTCTCTTAAACTTTTTGCCCCATACCTCTCTTTAATATAGTCTTGATGTCCATGCTTCCCCTAAAAATCCAAATATCAAAATGAACACAAATGAACAATTAAAACAATAGCATAAAACTTTGGAAAAGGTGGACTTTTTTGTAACAATGTACAACTATTAAACAATTCTTCATACCTTCCCTAGATTCTCTCTGGACCCGCTCAAGGAAAGTATAACTCAATTTGGCAACCCTGATATAAAGTGTGTGAGTACAAGGTGTGTGAGTACAAGATGGCCTTGAGAAAAGTATATGAACAGCTGCTGTGGGAATGAGGAACTCAAGATTGCTCCACCCTGATCCTCTTTGATGTTGGGGGACAGCAGAGAAGGGGAGTGAATATATCAAATTTGCAAGCCTCAGTTATTATACTGCAACAATAAAGTGGCATTTCTGGGATCTTTGGCGTCTGTTTCCCGACCCAACTAACCTCAAAGGGCTGATAGGGTGGAACTGTGGATAGAACCCTTCTCCCTAATGTAGACAGATGCCAAAATCATACCCAGTTAAAGAGCCACCTCATTCCTTTTTGCCATCAGGGTGCTCCCAGCTTCATTCCTGTGCTCAAGTTGCTTAGCAACAGATCTTTAGTTTTAAATGGTTGAAACAAATCCGGACCATCCTTAAATCAACTGGGGTAAGATTTTATACCATCTACCAAGGAAGGAAATCACATTTGAAAGAGAAAGGTGTCATGTGTATGTTTCTATCGTTTATATAGGGCAAGATCACATCGACTAAGACTCGAGATAACTTCGTCGCACCTAAGACCCTAACACTGATAGTTTTAGAAAAACTGCAAAGGGTTCAACAAGCGGCCGTTTTCTCACGTATAGTTTTCTCACGCCTCGGGGCTAGGAAAGTCTCTACAAGTGAATTTCGATTGCTTTCATCCTGCTTCCTATAAAACGAGTATTCCTCCTAAGGGCAACAACCGTTGGAGAATTTGCCGGTTTTACCGCTGCTTGTAATCCCTGTTTCACACCTCCCTGATCAATCCGGATTAAACGACGGGGCTCTGCAATACATTTTCGGTCTGTCTGTTTCTCTCCAGCTCAAGCCAAACATTCCTCCTCCTGGTTTCCAACTCTTCCCTCCTACCGATCTACCGTAACGCCACGGTCGAAATCTGCCGCCCTCCCCATCTTCGTACCTGTTTGCCGCGCCTGTATTTGAAAGCAGCAATCATGAGATCGCCAAGCTATCGGATATGAACTATCTGCAAGGCACCAGGTTTTTTTTTCTGGGCGGGCTTTAGGACCCAGGGAGTAACGAGAAAGCCCGGACATTCATGCTAGCTTCTGACTGACTTTACAACGGTTATTTCCGGTTAGAGAGCAACCAGCGGTTCGCTCAGCGGCTTTGTGTTGTCTTCCGGTCTCAGACTACCCATTGGAATAATGTGAAATTGTGACGTAACACATTCTAAACGGGAAGATTCTTCGCCCGCCCTCGGTTTGCTTCAATCCGCTAAACAGGGCATGCGCTAAAGGAGCGTGCTGCGTAAACACCACTTTGCTCCCGCTCTGTTTGCCGCTTTAAGAAATTATAGGTGCTGTTAACGGGTTGACAAAGTTGATACTAATAATGGATGGGAAGGAAAATAGATGCGTAGTTGTCTCTGCAGTCCTAGGCACTTTATACTGTGCAGGGATACTAAAAGTTTAGCTTCCTGGATTCAGTGGAACTTATTTCCAGATTGTTTTACCTATTGCAATTCATGTTTATTAAATCGCAATTGTAATATTCACAATAAAAAATGAATCTTTGATTAGATAATATATTGCAATTCCATACAACAGTCTTGAGTATCATTTGATTACAATTGTATATAAACAGTGAATTTTGTTCACTGAATCCATATACCACAATAAATCATTACTTTTCAAGAGGGTATATTGCAAACACCCAATAGAACATCTATGGTTAACTCTCTTCTGGTCTTACACTGTTTCCATAAAATACTACTAGCTTCATCTGCTTCTGTGTATGATCTTAGATGCTGATCTAGTGATATTGCCCCAGACAGACTTGGCGCAGTCTTGGACTCCTAGATCAGGGAGGTCTAACTCAGGTCCTCATGGCAGTGTCACCTGACATATCACAACTTTTTTTCCCCTTTGCTAAACCGGGTGTGGGTAAGATGCATCCGGCCCAGGAATTTGACAGCTCTGTCCTAGACTCCTCAGAGCAGTTGTGGCTGGGGGAGTGTTGCACAGCTTCATGTTGTGTATCTGTTGTACATCTTCCTTCATCAGGACGCCCTAGTCACCTCCAGATTGGACCACTGTAATGTTCTTTACATGGGGCTGCCCTTGAAGAGTATCCAAAAGCTTCGTCTGGTACAGAATGCAGAGTTGCAGGCTGTTATGCGTCCTCCTTGAAGAGCACATATAATATCTCTGCTTCATGAGCTGTGTTGGTTCCAGCCCATTTCCAGCTGTTACCTTTCCCCAACTATATCAGCCCATCCCATTAATTCTGGAAGAGAAGGCATGTCATGGGTCCCATAGGCCAGGGATCTATTTGGTGGGTCTCAGGAGGGCAGCCTTCTCCGCCATGGCATCCACCTTACACAGCGTTCTCCCATTTCCCCACAAAGTTAGGCAAGCTTCAACCCTGCAACCAAAAGCCCCTCAAGAGCTGGTTATATCATCAGGCCTGGAGCTCCTTGGAAAACAGACATAATGGTAAATGACTCCACTGTGCTTGATGTTCTTGCACACTGTAGGTCTTAAAAGAAATACTATTCTCATTTTAATGTTTTTATTGTTTTTTTTTATTTATCTGTCATTTTATTCTATTGTTGCACACCACCCAAAATCACTTTGTATGATATAAGCAGCAATATAAATCTGATTAATAAAATATTCAAAAAATAAAAATGAAAGTAACCCCTTTCCTAGAAACCAGAATTTTGACCAAGTCACATCAAAATTGAAAAAAATAAAAAACCACAGTGGCCCAGTCAAAATAAGAACCACTGTAGAAGTGGTACTTTGTATACTCATTTTATGCATCCATATAAGAAAGGGAGAAATATAAAAAAGAAACAAGGAAAAGTAACTGCAAATGGAGCAACCCATTTTTGGCCCACTCTAGTATCCTGTAAGTACTTGTGTCTATATCAGAGGAAAGGATTAACTTCAAAATATTTGTTTTGCCCAGGACTGAATAGTATGGAAAGTTAGTGTTTAGGTGAGCTAACAAACAACAAATCTTAAGTTAAAATAATGGTTAAATTGCTTCATCTTTATATGACTTTAAATAACAATCTACTGTATCTTTAAAAGGAGACTACCTTAGTCTCTTAAGGTTGTCACAGAAAAAGGAACAACCCCCAAATTAAGGACTGAAGTGTGCCCACTATTCCTGGTCTATTCCTGGAGGAATCAGATATAAAATGGAAATTGTAAAAATATGGGAAGAAGTACTTCTGCTACGTCTCCATAGTGATTACAATCCAATTTAAATATTTGCGAATTATAATTTTTAGACTATTTTAGAACAAAAAAAAATATTTTTGAACAGCCAGCCAGTCAACCGGACATCTATCTCTAAGTTGTGTTACTTTCATGCATTCATAAAGAAGTCCTTGACTCAGAGCAACTACTTTATATGCCCTGGAATATATTTCCATTAAGTGTTCAAGGCAATTCTATTTGTAGAAAAACATGATACTCTACAACCTGAAGAACCTTACATTGTGTGGAATTACTTACCAGTTTGAATTAAGAAAGCATAAGATGAAAGTCACATTTGGCCAAAGTGAGATATCCTTGAAAGGCAATTGGCCTCTTTGGGAGATCTAATTTATCTATGCTGTTTGTCCAATTAGCTATACCTTAATTTTTAAACAAACACAATAGTCATTACAATATAGGTTTTCAGTGTATCATTGCTGTTGAAATATCTAATTGTTTCAGAAGCAAGATGAACAGCAATAGATATAAATTCATTTAATCCAGGCTATAATTTCCCATTAAAAGTTAACACAATGAAATAGTTTCCGAAACAATATTCCCAGAGTGTACTCTATATAATAAAATTATTAAATTTACTCAGTTGTCTCACCAATTTAAAAAATCTACTGATTAGGATGTATCTATAAACATAACATATAAGCACAAATATATTTTTTTAATAATAAGCATTCAAACCATTCCAGAGTTGTACGTGCAGATTCCAATTTTATTAGTAATAATTTAAAACATTATGTTTCTTGCTCTGTACAATTGACTCAGTTATGTGGATTATATTAAGTATATTCTTCTTCTCTTTCCTATTTTGAAGATGGTGCTATTAGAAACTGATGGAGAAAGGATTCAAGGTTGAAGACAGAAAAAAAGTGAAAGAAAAATGAAAGGAAAACCATTTTTAATTGTCATAGTTGGAATATAATCTTGACTCCTAGAAGCACGTTTTACAATACAGTCTAATCCTGGGAGCTATTTCCCTTACAGCAGGAACGCTTATCATTTTTAAAAGAATAGCCTCAGATGTTTTTTTGTACCCAAAGCAATTTAGCTCAAATCAAAAAGTTTTCCCTGTAGGGTGAAAACATTAGCAAAACTGTAGAACAGCATGTGGATACTATTATACCTGTTTTCTTTTTAATCTGCATTTGAACTAGGCTTGGAGAAAGATAGTTTGCTTTTATTATTCAAAACTAAGTACACAGAGATTAAGCTGCTTCAGTTTTTCCCCCTGAAAAGTTTTAATAGTACAGAGTGGTGACACCAGGAAATAATGTGAAATAGCTCTAATCTGTTTATATTGCTAAAACCTTTCCCGAAAAACAGAAATTCAAAACTGCTCTGAGTACTGTTTTTTTCTGTATCCAATCTGGAAATCTAGATATTCAGATATTTGAAATAACTATTTTTGATTTTTGAAATGCACTTATGTTTGTATTCCACAGTGATTTATGGGTAGATGGATTACTGTAACGCACTCTACATGGGCCTGTTTTTGAAGAGAATCTAGAAACTTCAGCTAGTGCAAGATGCAGCAGCATGGATAATTATGTGCACACCTAGATCAGCACATATTACACCTCTCTTCTGCAAGCTGAATTAGATATCAGTTTGTTTGAAGCTGCTGCTGCTGATCTACAAAGACCTACTTGACATGAGGCTGGGATACTTGTAGAATCACCTCATCCCAATTACATCTTCCAGTCCCATCAGATCTGGCAGAAAGGGCACATTGCAGATCCAGTCTACACAGGAATATCAGCTGATGGCACCCAAGAGGAGACCTTTTTCTGCCAGAACCCACCATTTGGAATACCATTCACCCTGAGGTGAGATTGGTCCCTACTTTGCTAGCCTTTCAGAAGAGTCTGAAAACATGGCTTTTGTCAACTGGTTTAGAAGTCCAGTGATGTTAGTGGAGAGCCTGCTAAGAGGCTGTACTTTTAGGTACAACATAATGGTGCTCTCCACTGATTATGTTTTAAGGTTTTTAACAGTTTGTTTTTAATGTTTTTTAATTATTGGAGGGGAGTTGGTTGACTTTGTATTGTTTTCTGGATTTTTAACTTCACAAGCCACCCACAGTCACATTAGCAAGATAGGTAGCTATCAACAATTAATAAATTCATTAAGACAATTAGGTGTGATTATTTTAAATACTGCACAAGAAATCAGGAGACTAAATTGTAGTCCTGCCTCAGGCATGAAGCCCGCTAGATAACTCTGGGCAGCTTGCTTCTTCTCAGCCCTAAAAAAAAAGCAATAGTAAGCGCTTCTGAAAAAACTTGCCAAGGAAACTGCAGGGACTCATCCAGGCAGTTACCAGGAGTCAACACTGATGGAAAGCACATCCAATTTCATTAAGAAATGCAAGATTTCTTCTTTTACCCAAACTTCAATGACTGAATTTGCAATATATACTGGCATAAAATGTGGAAATCCAATCAGTATAATTTTATATTGAAAATCCAATCAGTGCAAATTCAATCTGTATAATTTTATATTGAAAAAGGCTAGTTTTTTAAAGCAACATATTAAGTATATATGTTGGAATTCAATGCAACTACAGTCATTGTCTTTTATATGATATATCAGTCTATGAAATGGCATACTGAACTTCACAGCATATATTTTTGTTCTTTGTACCATAGTAGTTTTCAACATGGAATACACAATTGTATCTAATATGACAATGCTTATCTCACACTTTGAATTAGCCACCTGTATTTAATATTAGTGTATTGTATAAATCCAGCTAGTATCACCTGCACAAAGCTACTCATGAAGAAATGCTTTCTGAAGCTCATGGCAGTATTTTAAGTCAT